TGCTGCCACCCAACGAGCGAGCGCTGTTCCAGGGCTACGAGGGTGCGGCGCGGGGCGGGGCGGGGCTGGTTGGGGCGGGGCGGGGCTGGATGACTGGGCCTGGGCTGACCTGTGCTGGGCTGGCGCTGGGCGGCCGGCTGCAGCGCGGCGGCAGCTGCGGCCTTGGCAGCGCCGGGCCGCCCTGCTCGCCGCACCTGCCTGCACCCCACGCCGCCCCTGCGTGACTCCCTGCCACCCCGCCACCCCGCCACCCTGCCCTCCAGGCATGTGGGTGGGCTTCTACGTGTTTGTGGTGATCCTGGGGCTGGGCGGCCCCACGGGCATCGCCGCCAACCCGGCGCGAGACTTCTCACCCCGCCTCGCGCACGCGCTGCTGCCCATCGCCGGCAAGTGAGTCCCTGGCCGGCTGCCCGGGGACGCCGCCGCAGGCGGGGGAGGGAAGGCACGGATGCAGCGGCCGAGCGCCCACCCTGCTGCGTAGCCATGCACAAGAAAGCACCCCAGCCGGGCCTCCTCGGCCCCCTCTCACTGCCCTCCTTCCGCGGTACCGTCCCGCAGGGGGCCCAGCGAGTGGTACTATTCCTGGATACCCTTCTTTGCGCCCCTGTGCGGCGGCGCCCTGGCGGGCGGCTTCTTCCTGGCGGTACAGGTGGGCGGCGGCGCAGGTCAGCTGCCGGGCAGCTGCCTTGCTGCTACAGGCAGGCGCCGGCCGATCCCGCCGACACACCCACCGACCCAGCTGCCCCTGCTGGCGTGCAGAAGATGAACCATTCAGAGTTAGCTTGACGCTCCCCGCTTGCTTGGCCAGAGGAGCCCTCTCCTACGAATGCCTACGTATCCGTATCAGAACATCAGTTGCTGTAGCATCGACGCCGCCTCAGGGCCGTGTGCTGAGCCCCGGCACCCAGAAACGAACCCACACTCCCTCCCACCCTGCATTGAGTTCCGTACCGTCTCGGCGGCAGCCGCAGCTGTCCTGCGCCTGGCATGTGTTGCACCGCGTGCTGTGTTGGAAGCCTGCCATTCATTCTTTGCCTTGCGCCACATTTATGGACGCTTGCGTGTGTACCCTCAACCACCGCCCAGCTTGTAGCATTTGGTCCCACCCACACAAGGCCCCACTTGAGGCAGGCGCTGCTGCCTTGTGCTGAGCATCTGTTACAGGGGGAGGGCTATTCTACGTGCTCGGAGTGGTGCGTTTGAGAAAAGAAGTGCAGAGGGGGAGGCGGCACCAGCAGCAGCCGCCGGTTGGGTGGCAGGCGCTGGGGTGGGCGCTTCATGCAGAGAGGGAGGGGGAGCGGCCCGTGCCATTCAATGCGGATGGCAACCCAGGGAGAACAGAGCGGGGAAGGGGAGCGGGAAGGTCAGCGGGGTCTTGGATGCGCACGCTCAGCAAGCCCTGGTCGGGATGAATGGGCTGGCGCTGGCACTGTTCAGCTCAGGGGCGGAGCGAGCA